AGCATGCAAAAAAATAAAAAAACGACCAATAAATATAACTGCGAGGAAGTCCATATCGAACATGTCAACACCCACCAAAACAGGAAGCTTCTCATTTGATCAAAATATTAACACAGAGAAAACAAAAGCAGAGTGCTTCTGTAGAAACATGTAATGAAGATTTTTCGAGCCAAACTAAAGTCTGAGCTAATGTCTTATTTAATTAATCATATTTATTTTCTGTATAAAGACTGTGATGCCTCAAACCAAAGGGAAAACATTTAAAATCATCTGCAGTGTTTTTAAGTTTCCAGTTACACAAAAACAAAAATCTCCTTTACCAAACAAGGATTGATAAAACTGCCTCCAGAGACCCTCTGAGCTGGAATAAAACGGCACACTTCAGATATCCATAGCACTCTTTCATAAGCACTCGTGCTGTAAACATGCTGCAGAGCTTCAGCAGTAAGCTGAGCCTCTGCAGACTCACCAGACTCTGTGACTGTGAGGTTGATGGAGTGCTTGAACTCTTTGACGACTCTCTCGCCATTTCTGGTGCTGCTGGTTGTGATCTGACAATCGTATGTTCCTGTATCGCTCACGCTGACGTTTCTCAGAATCGCAGAAACATCTCCGTCTTTCATGGATGAGTCTCTCAGCTCCACTCGGCCTTTGAAGGACTCGTGCTGGTAGTTCTCGTACGAGCGCTGGTCTTGGAAGAAGAACACATAACCCTGTGAGATGAGCTCCGGTCTGCTCCACTCCAGCAGGGTGATGTGTGCATCTGTGGGACCCCAACACTGAAGAGTGGCAGCTTGTCCAGGCCTCGCACAAACCTCTGTATGAATGAAAAACAAAGAGGAGAAAAACCCAAACATTATTAGCATGTTATACTGCACGTGTTGGAAATGCATTGTTCAGAACAACACTGCAGCTTCTCTTTCTGTGAACAGAGGAAGTCTAAAACACATCAGTGGATTACTCAAAGTAATGATACCTGCAGCTCTCCGACATGATACTCATGTGTCTGATGTCTCTATAAACCAACATGCATTTTACTCTGTGAACTGTTCTTCAGTTATGAGTGTTGCAACAAACCCCAGCAGTGAATCTGGACTGACAAACCTTCAAGACCAGAGAGGAATCCTCTTCACGGCCTGCTGCAAGTGTGTTTGTCAGTAATTAAACTCTGATGTTAAGCAGAGGGCTTTTACTGCAAAGCAGGAGAAATTACTTGGTTTTCAGTATCATGAAAGGTGCCTCTCACCTTATTAGATCACCATGTAACTCATACCTAACCTGGTGGCAAAACCAGTATTTAGACTTGATAGATATTCAAGAACTAAACTTGGAGCTTCCAAATGTCCTTAAAGCTTAATAAAAGTACTCATTATTAACAACATGTACACCATGTTGTTAATAATGAGTTTATTCCTTTAATGTTGCAGCTGGAGAAAAGTTATTAACTTGCATACTGCTTGGTAGTGTTGGATTATAATATTATTTTATGCCATGTTAGACCCCTAATTAAAGATTGTGAATTATTATGTAGTTTTAGTTTGCATTATGCTCCTGAATTAGAAGAAGGTGATAACTATTACATTTGTTAAACTGATTTGCATTATATTAGACTGCTGATTTATTGTGAATGAATGATATTGTTTTATGATGCATTATACTGTTGAGTTATAAGAAATACTGTTCGCAGAAAGTCATCGCCTTATTTGTCTGATTAGAAGAGAACAGAGCATACTGCCCCATCTCAGCAGGAGCAGATAAACAGGGAGCCAAGGTCGTAGCTTAGGCGCTGTGTGAGAGAAAGAATGTGAATGTTTAGGCTTTTATGATAAGTGGGGGCCAAAGTTTGATCAATGCTTCACCATTTTGAGATCTGATGCTGTCTGCGCACAGTGTCCATCTCCCACGCATTAAATCGTCGTTTGACTCAACCCGGCCGGACCAGTGTTGTTATTTTTGGTTGTTCCTCTTGTATCCATCCCCAATATTTGAATCTGTGACAGTAGCTTAAAGTATAATGACATACATTAGATTTATTTTTTAAAACCTGCACAATTTTAAAATAAACGATATCGAGCACAAATTACATCTAATATAGAGTGGAGTAGTTTGGAAAACTGTAAAATATAGAAACACTTTAGTAAATTTGCAATGCTGTCACTGTGTTTATCAAGATTTGCAGTGTCACACACCACTAGTTTGTCTTTTTGGCTTAGATGTTGTTTAAGAAATACTGACACAGCCAAACAGGACCGCCACTGCCTGGCACC